GGGGGGGGGGGCCCTAAGGCACAGCTTCCTCTTTCTAGGTAACTCCCCTCAGCTCCACTCTCTGAGGGTGAGAAAAGGAGGCAGTCAGACTTCCTGGTTTGTTGAGCTTGGACAAGTTAGCTTCAGCATCCTTATTTATGAAATGGTGATAATAATAATAGTGTCCAAAAAATGACAGTGTCTACTTGGTAGGGTGTGAGGATTTTCATTGTTGTTGTTGACGGACGGAGCGGTTGGGTGTGCCCGGCACACAGAGGGTGCTGTACAAATGCCTGTTATTATCACGATGCTGTGCCCTCAGCTTCACATGTAGGACAAAGAAGATTCCTCTTAAGCGGGACCCAGCGCTGGCCACAGCCTGTTTGTCTTGCTGCCTCTCCGAGGCCCGCAGTCCCTGCAGGAGCTGTCCTCCCGCATCTCCCTGGAGACCTGCGTTCCCAGGACACGTGGACACCCGCCCTCGCCTCAGCTCCGCCCCTCCATCCACCCTCCTGATGGACCCTGCGCAGGACGTTCCCACCTCTGGTTCCCAGTTCCTGCCACTCCCGCTGTTCCTGCTGCCTGGGTCACCTTTGCCCTCACACCCCTGCCCTATCTGTGAAAAGCCTTGGAGAGCCAACAAGCCCGAGCACTCCCGGGGGCTCCCTCGAGAGCCCCCACCCCCATCCACACCCAGGTCTGGCACCTCAGCTGCGCTTTGCTTCCGCCCCTGGGCAGCCACCACGTTGTGCAGGACCCACTCGGTCTATGGCTGGTCCTCTCGGGAGGAGGGCTGCTTGGGCACCGGGCCGCCCCATTCAACCTCACTCCCTGCAGGGCCTGGCGCCAGGCGCTGTCACTCACCCAGGTGCTGTCTCTGGAAAACTTTCTCGCCCTGCCTAGGCCCCCTCCTGTCTCTTTCTTCTCTCCCTTTCCAGCTCTCCTCACTTCCACCTCAATTCTCCAAACTCCCTCTTCCTTTCTCTCGTGCCCTTCTCCATGGCTGCGCAGGCCGAGAGCCTCGGGTTCAGCCCCTTTCCTCCCCACCCCACATCTAACCCATCAGCAGGTCCTGTTCGGTTACCTCCCAAACACACCCAGCACCTGACCCATCTCTCCGTCTCCACCTCATCACACCCGTCCAGCTGTGCTGACTCCCCCCAGCTACTGAAACAGCCCACTCATGGCCCCCCCTTTTTCTTCCCATGCTCCCCAACTTTGTGGTGGCCACAGTGATCTTCCTAAAGCAAAATCGGTGCAGGTCACTCCAGGCTTCTAAGGATGCAACAGCTTCCCCCACAACTGAAGGGGAGGGTGAGCTCCTTACCCTGTCCCCACAGCCCTGGCGGACTTGGCCCTGTCCAGCGTCCAACCTCCCCTCCCCTCCTGTCTCCTCTGCTCCCACCACACTGGCCAAACGCCACCTCCTTAGAGAGGTCTTCCTGAGCCATCTAAAGTAGCCATCCTTCCCTCCCCGTCCCTTCACCATTCTTTACCTCGCCACCTTGTTTTAGGTACTTCATAGCACTTGTCACTACCCAAATGTATCTTTGCTTCTGAATATTTTATGGTCTGTCTCCTCCTTAGACGCAGGCTCCTTCCAGGCAGGCAGCTTGCCTTCCGGTTTCAGATCTTGAGCCCTGAGCGCCAGTGAACAGGCCGTCACCGCCTGCTGCTGCCTCACTGGCCCGGCTGCCACTCCCTGTGGGGCAGCGAGAGGGCCCATCCCAGGGGCCAGAAAGCCAGGCTCCCGGTCCAGACCTGCTGCCCGCATGCGCTAGGATCTCAGGTGCTTCTCTCCCAGCCTGTTCCTTGGCTTTTAAATGGAGATAAGCACCTGCATTGGTTATTTAATGAGTTTTTCATTCATTCACTCATCAAACAAACAGGGATCGAGTTCCTAGCACGGGCCTGGCCTTTGGCTACGACCTGGGGGTACAGGTCTGAGCGAGCAGACCCCACACAGCACAGCTCCGGGGGCATCCTCGGGCTCTGTGGGCTCTGAGGGCTCTGAGAATGAGTACCCCCCGCCCCACACAAGACACGCTAGTTCCCTGCTCTCCTGGGACTCACATTCTATTGCGGGGAAAGTTGATGCAAAAGTAAGCAAGATCGGTTCAGGTGGAGGCAAATGCTGGGAGAGAGAAATGGTGATGTGGTGAGGAATGAGCTCAGCAGTGAGGGAGGAAGATCTTGGCAAACAACAAATTCCAGTGGTCACCAAGCTCACCTTTCTTGCTCTGGCAGAGGGAGCAGTCCCGTTGGCTGCAACTGGTGTCTGCCTCCCCCTGCCAGGTTCTTCCCCGCACAGCATATGCATGCATGTGTGGGTGGAGGGGGCTGTCACCACTGGCTGATCCCAAAGTCCCTTGCAAATGCCAAGTCCTTATGTAAACCCACCCACAGGACAGATAACAACCTCCCTGGTTGCAGGAGGGCAGCCTTCCTCGCCAGGCCCCAGGGCTCAGGTTACAGGCCTATCTCAGCACTGATCTCCTCCTGACATTTAGGGACGTCTCCCTTGCTCACCCACCGCATCCCAGAGCAGCCACTGGTTGCTAGGCAACCTGGGCCTGGGCCTGGGTGCAGGATTTCAGAACTGGAGGCTGGGGAGGCGATTAACCCTTGCAGGGCAGCTCTTTCAACTGCAGTGTAACTGGGGATGG